TATCGATAACTTATAACTTCTTATGGAAGCATAACCAAAAAAAAAAAGAAATTTGGTTGCTTTTTTATAACTAAAATTGGGAAATGCATGTAAATGCCTACAAAAATTTAAATTGACATATCACAAAAACCTGTAAGACTTGTCAAATTTATTTGTTAGCTTGGAGGAGTAGCAATGCAAATTAGATTGGTAAATTAAATTAAAACTGAACAACACAATAAATGATAATGCAATTAATTAGATAAAAATAATATTTATGTAGCATTAAACCAAATATATATGAATTGAGGTTGTAAGAAAAAAAAAATTATATCATGTTATTCACCTATTTTCTAAATTATCTAAAAATGAATACAAAATAAAAATAAATTTCAAAAACAGTGCTGTTCTAAAATTTCTCTCTAGCCATTCAACAAAAATTTCGGATCATTCCTTATTGAAGATGCTCATACTTACTAGTGATGCTTTCTTTGTCTTGCATGAAGTATTTTAAAAGTAAATACCAAATTTTTGGTTTAAATATAAGTGAATTGTGTTGCATGAATGCCAATTTCTCGAAATGTATTTAGCATGATAAATGTATATACTTAATTAAAAGTCAATTGGACGCTCCAACTGAGTTAAAAAAAATATAATGTAAGTATGCAAACACAAACTTTTATATGTACTAATTTCAAGCTGATTCCATTTAAATACACGTGCTTAAGAATCTGTCCATAATTTATTTCGACAAGTATGAAAGTAAAATGCAATGTGCAGGAGCGCTCCGATATATTGAAGAGCATTATTAACTATTCTATTGAAATTTTGATTTATAATAATACAAATACTAAAACTGCATGATTAATTCATTTTAATTAAATATTTTAAACCTAGGAAATGTAATAATTTTAGTTTCATTTTTAAGAAATATAACAGTATGTGTGTGTGTATCTATATATATATATATATAGTTGTGTGTGTGTGTTTTATTTATTTAGAGAAAAAATTTAGTCACCTCACGGATAAAATATATCTATAACTTTACTTTCTTATGGTGATAATAAATTGGTTTGCTAAATTACCTTAATTTCATTGAAGTCTAAATATTTTTTAATGAATATTCGATAATAACTCAAATACAGTAAATACAGTATTAAAAGGATGAATAAGACATCGAACAAATATTTATATATTCAAATTGAGGGTCTGTTTGGGGGCAGCTGTTGATTATTTATAATCTGTTGTTAAGCAGATTATTCTGATAATTTGCTGATTATCAGAATAATTTGGCTTGTTTTTTGGGGCAGCTTATCCAGAATAGTTTATTGGTAGTTACAACTGTATATATGACTTTCTTGCCCCTGTTTGGTAAAACTACTTGGGACAGCTTTTTCAGAATAGCTTATTTGTACTAAATAAGCATAAAATGCAAAAACATAAATCACCCCAGATGAATTACATTCCATGACATACAGTTCTCACATTCTCGTTAGCACCAGAAAAAATAAAAATAAGATAAAGACAAGTACAACTACAATGAGAAATATTAATTGACATACATAATGAAATTATTTGCAATCATTATGACATAGCATAATTATTTAATTGACAGACATATTGACATATATAATGACATAGCATAATGTTCAAATAAAAATTTAACAACGAGCAATAGAACACCATGCCAGGCAACAATGTTACTCAGTAGAACTAGGCAACAATCCCAAGCAATAGAACCAGACAACAATTCCAAGGCAACATTCCAAGACACAGACAAATTTTTAGGTTGAAAACCATTAACGAGAAGCATAGATGAGGAGATAAGAGACAATTTCGAAGCCCTAAAAAAATCCATACATACAATCCCAGGCAACTAACCAAGGAAACGATCTTCTCAAAATAAACGATACCTAAAATATTGCAAAGTATTTTAATGGGTTCACGGGATCGAACAGCAGAGACGAGACAGGGAGCCAGGAGCGGCAAGAGGGCGAGACGACAGAGGGGAGACGCATATCTAGGGCAAGACGGGATCAAACGGGGCGCGAGACGAGATCGAAGGGGCAGCGGGGTAATAAGTTATTCCAAAACGCTGAAACGCAGAGGGGTGAGGAGCGGCAAATGATCCATCGGTTTATAGGCTAAAGCTTTACGCGATTATAGGCACCGCAGTTACGAACGTCATTTCTAAATACGACCACGACGTTCTGAAAATGCCGAACGCAACTTTAATCTGCCCCAAAGGGGCCCTGAATGTGAAATCGGTAAGAAAAATAAATTATTTAACTTGAACTATTGAACCGGTGCGTGGTGATTGACTTGGCCCTTAGCATCTACTCGGATAAGTTGATGCCGTGGAAACGGGACGAATATAATGAGCCATAGGTTAGGATAACTAAATTTTTCGCTTAATTTTTATGAGAGCGTATTCGAAATTTATATTATATTTAGAATATTTAATTATTTTGATTATATATCAACGTGCTAAAACAAACAAAAAGCAATTAATGATTATTAATAATGTATGTTTTCTTATAAAATTATTATTTACAATTGAAGATAACAAGTTTGAGTTTGGATAACTCGATTTTGACCCAAATCAAATTTGCATCTCTCTGCATGGAAAAAATATTATATCAGGACTCCGAATGTAGAGTTACGTATGAAGTCCAATGAAATCACGCCACGCGTGAAGGTGAGAAAAAAATTCGTCCCGGTAACATAGGAAAATATTCCCTCCGTATCATTCAAGTGTTATTGTATGTTATTCATGTATTATTGTGTTCTGGGAATATTTCTGGTATTATAATAACATAATAACACATCAATAACATATGAATAACATACAATAACACCTGAATAACACGGGAGAAATATTCCCCTGTGTTACCGGACTGATTTTTTTTCTCACTTTCACATGTGTGATGTGATCTCATTGGACTCCGCACATACTTCTTCGTGAGGATGCATGACATGTTTGAGAATTTGACTAACCCAAGTTGCCTTTAACTTAACTGCTTCGTGTAACCTTTTAATATAAGACATAACAATCGTTAAAGTCAAATGAACATCCCAAATTAAATGAGAATTTTTGATAAATTTGAATCAGAAGATATCAACTCAATTTCGATTTTTGAGTAAAATTTGCATCTGATAATTATTTGACACCCTAACCATATAAACGTATTTTTTGATGGGCATTTGTATAGATAGCATACAATTTTTATGTATTTACATATCTGACAACTCCATTTTTATATTTACAACATAACATTCAAACATTTAATATCACAATAAATAACACAATTTGCATTTTTTTACTTAGAATTTATTTTTTTTATGCATAGGTATAAACCATCAAAATATCATTCATGTAAATACGATAGTTTAAATATGAGATATAAATACCTAAAAATTGTGAGCTACGATTGTAAATTTCCTTCTATGATTCCCTGTGCAATTTATATAAATGAGGAATTCGTCTTTTTTATTTAAATGAAAAGGCTAATGGAGAAGACAATTAATACTTTTAGAAACAAATTTAATATTTCCTTGCCTTTTCTGGCTAGCTTGCGCTATAAAAGGAAGGTGAGATTATCGAGCGAAAGGAAGGCTGCAAGTGGCATGGAGGCTCTCCATTTTGCCTTCTGTTCTAGCTCATTACTCGTCCTCTTTCTAATTTGGAAGGTCAGGAATTTGAAGCACCGCCGAAAAAACGGAAGCAGAGAAGCCCCAGGGCCAAGGAATCTACCCATCATCGGTAGTCTCCACTATGTCATGGGCCCACACCCTCCTCACGAGTCTTTTCGCAACCTGTCCGCGGTCTACGGCCCCATCATGCGGCTCAAGCTCGGTGATATCCACGCCGTTATTATTTCCTCTGCGGAAGCTGCTAAGGAAATCATGAAGACTCATGACATCGACTTTGCCACACGTCCTGTCAATGACTCCGTCGAAGCCATCTTATATGGAGCTAACAATATCTTGTTCGGCCGCTACGGTGAATTATGGCGCCAGATGCGCCGACTATGCACTATGGAGTTGCTCAGCATTAAGCGTGTTCGCTCCTTCAAAACAATAAGAGAGGACGAGGTCTCTCATCTCATTCGACTCATAGCGACTTCTTCTGGCGTTGTCGTCAACCTCGGCGGCATGTTGGTGGAGACTAGCAACAACATCATAGCCCGTGCAGCCATCGGTGGTCGGTGTGATGACCAGAAGCTATTTCTATCGGCGATCAGCGATGTGGTGGAGTTTTTGTCGGGATTCAACTTGGTGGATTTGTTCCCGAAAATACCATTCATAGGTTATCATTAAGATGACTCCATTAATATTTCCATACTCTTTATTCTTTATAGTAATATTAAATTAATAAATCGGGACAGAAACATGTAGTAAACCATAATAATATTAAATTTGTAATATAGGATAGAAACATGTAAAATTACTACTAACAGATTATCGGCAATGTAAATACCACTAGATTGTTCTGGATCTTATTGCCACATTGGCGTGGATAACACGACGGCTCATCCAAATCATCATCATGTTAACTTTACAATTTTTTTAATAATGTTCTTCGAATTTCTGCACCAGGTCGTATCACCGGATACCAACGGAGGCTTGAGCAATGCAAGAAGAATTTGGATCTAACAGCTGAAAAGATTGTTGAAGGACACAAAAAGAAGTGGGCCAAACATTTTTCTAACAAGGATCATGAGCAGTTTATGGAAGAGGATCTCACTGATGTTCTTCTGAGGGTTCAACGGGAAGATAGCCTTCAATTCCCTCTATCCAATGACAACATCAAGGCTGTAATCAATGTAAGTAAACTTCTTAGGACTTCAATCATCCCCAAGCTTGCTGCTCTCATGCTAACGTTTTAGCAAGCATGAATAACTGAATATTTAGTTATCTAGGACATGCTCTTGGCTGGGAGCGAGACGAGTTCAACAACCTTGGAATGGGCGATGTCAGAGTTGGTTCGAAGTCCTATGGTTATGGAAAAGGCACAAAGAGAGGTTAGGGAAGTCATCCGCGACAGCGGCGGGCCAGGGAAGTTGGTAGATGAGGAGTTGATATATGGTAGGCTAACATATTTGCAACTAGTGATAAAGGAGACGCTTAGACTACATCCTCCAGGAACGCTGCTACTGCCACGTGAAAATCAAGTAACCAAAGAGATAATGGGATATGTAATACCAGCTAAGACAAAAGTGATGATTAACATGTGGGCAATAGGAAGGGAAAAAAAATATTGGGGCGATCCAGAAAATTTTCGTCCCGAGAGGTTTGAAGAGGATCTTGTAGATTTTAAAGGGGCACACTTTGAATATGTGCCATTTGGTGCGGGAAGGCGAATATGTCCCGGGATGCACTTTGCATTATTCACGTTGGAGGTTGTTCTGGCGCATTTGCTATACTTTTTTGATTGGAAGTTCTTGGGAAAGAAAGGGGAGAAGCTGGACATGATAGAAGCTTCTGGTGTCACAGTAAGGAGGAAAAATCCTCTTTGTTTGGTTCCCACTCTTCGATTTCCTCTCCAATCAGCATGACTATTGTATCTACGAGTAATTTAATGTGATTTTAATTATGTGTGACTCCAAGGTTTGATGGATTGGAACAAGGTAAAGTTGTTATGAGTGAAATTCGTAAGATAAAAAGTTTAGGGTGGTATAAGTAAAATCCCTTCTTTTTTACCATCCAAAATTTGTTATTCTAGATAATAATTCTTGTTTTACTTGGAGAATGAGTTCATATCGTCATTCACAAAAATAATAAATAGATATGTATTCAGTGTAAGAAATTCATTGATTATGGATTATAATATCCGCTCATAATTTGTGATTTCCATGAGTAAATTAAGTTTTTGACTGATTATCACCTCAAGAAATTTCACCTGCAAAAGTCTTGTTTAGAAAAAATACCGACTGATCTATGTAATTGCTGCAAGTTATCGACTCCCTAAGTCTATCACTACATATGAGTGACAGATTGGTGACATAATAATTAGACACTAAGTTGGCGATGTATTAACGCTCAATTAGAGACCAAACTAATTGGTCGATGACCTAGTTATGACTTGTAGCTACAGTATCGACTGTTTAGAAGCAAAATATTCATCTATAAATTAACAATTATTTCATTATAAATTTGACTAGAAACTTGTAGAAGAAAAAAATTGGATTCCTTAACAAAATAACTGTCGAACTTAAATTCATAATCATAATATCTCAGAACATCTTAACAGAAATAACAAATGAAACAAAATTAATTGGAACTATAGAAAATATAACAAATTACCAAACAAAGCATCTAGGATAATAATATTCACAACTTAGACAAGGGAAATAGATTGAACACAAGCAAGAAAAAAAAAAGAAAAAATAATCATGCTACTCTTCACACTTCTTTACCTCCAAAGCTCACATACCACGACGACATAACTGGTGTTGCAGCTGTTGAATGGTCACCTCTAGCCTTTTGACCTGTTCATTACTAGATTGCTTAATCTTCTTCATCCTAGAGTTTAGATGACATACAATAGCACGATTGTCCTACAACTTCTTCAATAGTGTGGTCACCTGCTTGGAGACTTCATCTTTAATCGATGATGATCTTTGGTTGTAACTAGAGTGCTATGCCTCATATAAAAATCCCTCTACTTCAAAGCCATAAATCCTCTTTTTCTTCTTCCCCTTGTTAGCTCCCTTCTAAATCTCAAAGTCGTTAAGGTTAGACTGATAACTAGGCCAGAAACATCTTCTTGGCTCTTACTCCAACACTGCTTTAGGTTTTTATACATATCCCACATAAAAATATAAAGGGTAAATAATATGGATGTATGATTTTAGATAACTTTCACAAATAAATAAATATGTATTTTAAATTATGTGAACATAGAGAGATCTCCCATTGACCTAGTCGTGGTCTACCTGAAGCTGATGTTCATGGTTGTGCAACTCAGTTGTGGTGGGGTATTAGCTTATCTCTAACATATGTTAACATATGAAAAGGTTAGAAACATAGTTAAACTAAGCAGCTCAATGCAAGGGATACGTCTTACTATCCTTTTGGAGAATCAAGCCTTCAGTGTGTATTGAGACACCCAAGCTCCCACACAAATGCCAAATTTGACTATGTTGGCTCCCACTTCTTGAGATACTCAAGAGAGAACCATGCTTTGCATAAGATAACCCAGACATCCTTACTTATCAAGATAGGCCTCTCCCCCTTCTCACGAATGATAGTGAACATATCTTCAAGCGGTGCTTGCCTTGGCTTCCAAAGTTCTTCTAGATTTGCTAATGATGCATAAGATCCCACCGAAAGTCCCTCTATAAAATAATTATCAAAAAATATTATTTTTTTACAATAAAGGATGTTAAAACTATTAATGTAAATTAAATGGAATTATGTGAGCGCTCAAATATCCCAAATTGTGACCAAGGTCTTCAGCAACAATAGAAACTGAGCATTGTAGCCACTTTTGATGATCTATACGACCCTTTTGAGTGGTTGGTTGGTTGTATAAAGGCTGAAAAAAAAAATTAAATTTTAGCTAAATAATATAATGGAAAGATTTTATAATGGAATTATGTGAGCGCTCACATATCCCAAATTGTGACCAAGGTCTTCAGCCACGATAGAAACTGAGCATTGTAGACACTTTTGATGATCTATATGACCCTTTTGAGTGGTTGGTTGGCTGTATAAAAGCTGAAAAAAAAATAAATTTTAGCTAAATAATATAATGGAAAGATTTTATGACAATTAAATTTACTTAAAAATCTCTTATCAGCATGATGCACTCCCATCTTGATGTGTGCTTAATAGTCTTAACGGGAGTGGAAGTGCCTTCCTCAAAGAAGGGCGGAGGTGGCACTATGGTGGGAATTATAGTGGTGGAGCATATCACTATAACAATGTGCATGAGTATGAGAGGTGAAGCAATGGGCCTGATTGGGACTGGTGTAATGGTTGAAAAAATGATTTTCATAGTGGTGCTCATCTCTACAATAGGCGGTCAAGAACCTTTCTTCTTCCTCATGAAGAAGTCCAGGATAACTTATTTACAAGGATCCTAATCTTCACTACTCCTTGAAGTCATATGTAATTAGAATAAATAAAATTATTAGAATAAAGGAACTAAAGTAGTAAAAAAATTAAGTTAATGCAAGAAATTACTGAAGTACAAAAGAAAACTAAAAGAAGTAAAAGCAAATAAGAACTGGCCTATGGAATAAAATACTAGAGTAAAGAAAATAAATAATAAAAGTAAGTGCAGTA